TTTATATAAATACGAAAAAAATCATAATATATTCTTATATTTTTTTGCTAAATTTTGTAAAACATTATTTAATACATTATCGTCAATTTCTCGAGAAAATATTTATGCTACGTTTTTAATGGATTTAATTGAAAAAATCGAAGTTTATTTCCATCAATTTATGTATCAAATTCTTTGATCCTTAATTATAATGTTTAGTTATAACTTTGCAACCAAAGTTGTTGGTTTTTATCAAATATATACGTTAATTCATACCTTTTTTATTTTAATTTTTTATACAATAATACATAAAAGTTGATATAGATTTGTTAATTATTTATAACAAAGTCATAAAAATATTAAAAAAAAACACTTTGAAGTTTAAAAAAATCAGTTTATTTAAATTTCAGTTTATTTTAGTAGCCCGCAGATGTTAAAAAACAAACAGTCTTTTTTTTTCAGACTACAGACGTTTGGTCCACATCTTCTACTGCAGAGGTCTACAGATGTTGTCCGCAGACTGCAGACATTTTGCCTCAGAAAAAACAAACAGCACCTTAGGCTGCGTTTGGCATGCCACAGTTAGCTGAAAAGCTAGCTTATTTTTCAAGCTTTTTTGGGTTGTTGTGTTTGGTAAGCCAAAAAGCTAGCTTTTAAAAAACTACTTGGAGTAGCTTTTCAGGAGCTTTTTTACAAACTTCCAAAATATAACCTTAATTAATTATAAAAACTTATTTTAGAAAATGTCTCTTTATGTAATTTTATATTTTTCAACTAGCTTATCAGTTAGTTTTTACAAAACACGTTTTTTTTTAATTGGCTAGCTTATCAGCTAGCAGCTAGCTTTTCAGCTAACACGCCAAACGCAACCTTAATAGTTAGGCTATGTTTGGCATACTAGCTGAAAAGCTAGCTGATAAAAAAAAACGTTTGGTAAAACTAACTTAAAAGCTAGCTGAAATATATAAAATTATATAAAAGGACATGTAGGAGTATGTATTTCTATAATTAATTAAGGGGTGTATTTGGAAAATTTTAAAAAAGCTCCTAAAAAGATAGTCTAAGTAGATTTTCAAAAAGCTAACTTATAAGCTACTTTTTGGCTTGCTAAACACGACAACATAAAAAAGCTCGAGAAATAAGCTAGCTTATCAGCTAGCTGTGGCGCGCCAAACACAGCCTTAATAGGAATCCTAAACACAAAGATGATATATCTATCTTAGCTACAAGATTAACATTAGTAAGAATAATTATTATACCATGCAACTCGATTAATGTCTAACATCCATCTTGCATCGACTATACATGTGATCCTCATAAACCCAATTGCCACAATAACTTTAATTATTATTGCAACTCGATTGAATTAGGCTAAACTCCAATTTCATTCCATATCAATTAAACATGACATATGTCTTTTTAAGTTTTAACAATCGATCCCTCTGGTAACCATCATCACTCTAACTCTTTCAACATCATGTACACGTTTCACTTTCCCATAAATCTGCATCAAAAGCTTAAAATTATGATCATTATCGGGTTCCAACTCAAACAGATTTTCAGCAGCAATTTCCCCAATTTCTACATTCTTATAAACATAACAAGCGTGTAATAAAGCTCCCCAAACAGTCGGACCTGCTGCAAATTGCATTTTATCAGTAATCACTTTGTAAGCTTCAACAATCAATCCAGCCCTACCATAAAGATTCACCAAACATGCATAGTGTTCCATACTTGGAATTATCCCGTATTTTTCTGTCATTTTAGAAAACAACATTTCCCCATCTTTCACCAATCTCAAATGAGCACAAGCTGTTAATACAGAAACGAATGTAATGGCGTCGGGGGAAGTATTGGAATTCAACATACGATTGAAGTATGAAAGGGCATTTCGGTGGTTTTTGTGTACTGATATTATGGTGTTCCATGAAACCAGATCTCTTTCAGGCATTTCATCGAACACCCATCGTGCTAAATCCAACCTGCCATGATTTGTGTAAACAAGAATCAGAGAATTGGCGATTGGTAGATTCCATTCTGTTCCCTTACGAAGAACCCATCCGTGAATTTGGGATACGAGTTTTTGTGACAGCTCAGCTGTGAGAATTGTGGAAATTGAAATGGAGTCTGGCTCGTACCCGTCTTGTATCATGAATCGAAATATGACCAAAGCGTCGAATAAGAGTTGGTGTTTCACGTAGCCTGTAAGCATCGAGTTCCACGAAACTATATCTTTTGAAGGAATTTTATCAAACACTTTGCGTGCTTTCACAATGTCACCACACTTAGCGTACATGTCAACCAACCCGTTAAGCACAAATCCATCGTTCACATACCCACAACGAATAATCTCACGGTGAACTTGTTGCCCGACGTGAATCAAGCCCATGCCACCACAAGCTTTAAGAACACGAGGAAACGTGAACCCATCTGGGTCTACACCCTCTTCCACCATTTGAAAATATAAAGCCAATGCGTCTTCGTACAATCCCGTTTCGGTATAGCCTGATATAAGTGAATTCCAAGCAAAAGCAGATGAGTTTCTGTCATACATATAGTCGAACACTTGGTGGGCTTCATCGATATAGCCATTAGACGAGTACAATCGAAGAAGCTTTGATGAGATACCCACGTTTCTGCGTAGAAGTGTTTTTGGTATTAAGTGGTGAATCCGGATACCTTGTTCAACAGCTTCCAAACGAAAGCAAGTTTCAAGGAGTGAAGAAAACATACTGGGATCATCGATCTGTATGCCATTTTTGACAGCGGCTTCGAGGTCATCGACAACGTTGGCAAGTGCTTCAAGTTTAGTTTGCGGGCAACGCTTTTGGTTTACAAGAAGTTGCGTTGGAGATAATTTGGCTAATGATAATTTCTTAATTTGATTTTGATTTTTGTTGAAAGAAAATGCGTTGAGGATTTGACACTGGATAATACTAGTAACAGCCATTCAAGATAATATACGGGCTTTGTAGGAGGCACTTGTTATAATAACAAAGAAAATAGGGAAAATACCACAAAAGATGTGAGCGGACTTTTTGTTAGTTTATATTGGCCTTTTTGTGTAATATGTTGGCCTTCATTTCATTGGAATACATACTCATATAACATACTCATGCCCACATTTTGCTTTTTTTTTTTTCCTTAAAGGTTACTAATTTAATTTTCCCATATTGAATATTTATTAAACAGTGTTCTTGTTTTAAAAGTCAAAAAGTTAAGTTGGGTTTGATAACACTTCACTTTCACAGGACCTATAGTCCTATATTATGGTTGGTATTGTAATTAAGATACAATATTCTTTAACAAGTCAAAAAGTAGGATTGTTTATAGATTATAAAAGTAAATAGAATGCTTCTGTTAAAAAATAGTTGTCTCTGCGAGATAAATAAACATAGCGATGTACTTTGATGTGGGTTTCCACAGTAGCAACAAAAATCAATTAGGTTGCTTGTTAGTAACAAGTTAGAGTTGTGGATATCGAAGAGGATTTCAGTTTCAGCATCATCAGATTCAACAATGGTTTTAATACACAACAATGGCTTTTGTTTTATTTTCCCTAATAAAATACAAAGATTATTATTTCCCCTATAACCAGTCCGAGATTGATTTATTGACACACACAGATATTACAACATTTTCCATCATCTTTAGAAAGGCAATATTTTAATGACATAGGTTTGTCAAACTAAAAAAACAACCTTGTCAAGAAATGTTTTTTCTCTTGGGCATCATGGTGTGTGTAGGGATGAAAAAATAGGCCGAACTCGTTCAAAGATTTCGTCTTCTGTTCCTATGGCATTAATCTGCATCATTTTTTTTTATTTAAAAAATGAAATGAATGATTATTTGCATATATAGATTTTTTAAAGATATTGTTTAAAAGTAAGTGAGTCGAACCTTGTAAAGCTTCCCTTTCTCAGTGTAGTATTTAATAACAGGCAGAGTATAAGCTTCAAACACTTTAAGTCGTTCCATTGTGGTATCAATGTTATCATCAATTCGCCCCTATCACAATCACAAATATTTTTAGAATCGTACAAAAAAAAAAAAAAAAAAACACACACACACACACACACACACCTGATTACGATGGAGTACTCGTTTTACCATCTCCTCTTCATCACAGTCAAAGAAAAGTACAACTCCCGGTTCTATTCCAATCTAAACTTACAAATAATTTATTTAAGATTTTTAATGAACAAATAAATAATATATTTAAGTAATTTAAATACAAAGGAAAGGATGCAGTAATGTAACTCACAATCTGTTCATAAGCCACACGATTCTCCTCACTTCTTGGGAAACCATCGATTAGAAATCTATCCGTTTCATTAGATTCAATGGTACGTTTTAGCAATTTCACTGTCACTTCTGAAGAAACAATTTTCCCTTTTGTAATTGTCTCCAAAATCATTTCACTGAAACCATTACCCATATTTAATATTTATTGAGTAAAAAGGTGGAAGTTGAAATGGGATATTTATTTCACGTACCCGTATTCAGTGTTGGAAGATATTTCATTTCTCAGTAAATCTCCAACACTTAGATGTGTGAATCCATACCTCTCAGCAATCCTTGCACATTGAGTGCCCTTTCCAACACCAGGGCCTCCTACATACATACATATTATATTATATTATATTATTAAAATTAAACAAACAAAAACATCTCCACTTTAAACTTTCTTCATTCATGTAATGTGTTTTTAATTACCTAATACAAAGTTAATGCTTGGAGTCCTTGCTTTTGACAGGATTCCACCTTCTGCCTACATCAAAAGTAAAAAGAAGATGGCAAAATGATCATATTGGTTCAACTAAAATATAAATAATTTTTTAACTTTAAGTTGAATTATATAAAAGACCTTTAACGATCTAATTGTACATAGTGACATACCGGTTTCAGGAACGTTGTTGTGCTGAATGCTTCAAGAAAACTCAATCCATATGCCACCTTTGTCAATAAGAAAGATAATATAACCAATTTATGTAAATGACTTGCATAACAAAATCATCTGTATACAAATACAATCTTGTGAATGTCTATATGTATCTATCTTCATAGTTCTACCACAGGTGAAGATTATAAATCTCTATATAACAGAACCAATGTTTTGAATCTTCAACTGATAAATTGTTAACTAGCTCCAAATCAAAATTTCCAACATCAGTACAAGATTTTCTCATACATATACATCACTGCAAATGTATCAACATCCAAGTGAAAGCATCCAATCACAGTATCGTGTATTGCCTCACAAAGGTATATGTCCTTTTTAACAAGGATTTGAACTCGAACTAGAGTACTAATAACAACAATGGAGCTCAGGCTTTAAGGTTAATCAAAGCAATTCAACATCTCTATTTTAGCCATACCTGATCAACCAAGCTTTTACACAGATATATATCAGTTAACAACATAAAATTAACTTCAAATCTTTTGGTAAAACTATAGATATAAACAGCAGCAAAATCGAAGCATTCTCAGAACTAATCAAAGGAATAAACTCCTGTACCTGATTAAGCAGAGATGGTTTGGCCGCCGACAAAAAAGTTGACAGTAAACTGGGTCGCCTCAACATTTCTCGATCTCAGATACACCTCTATGTATGTATGTATGTATGTATGTACTTAAAGTTATGAGATGTATAGGAGCACTTGGTTCGGATTAGAAAGTCAAAACTGAGATCAGTTAAGTTGTAGATAGTAGCGTTCCTCACCTCCCAAGCTTGTTTTTTCAAGGCGTGTTTTCCTGATTGGGAGCAAATGGTTAACGTGATCGGAATCAATTTCACATAGGCATTTTGTCGAACACCTTCCGCGCCATGTGCAGCTGTCTACTGTCGTTGGGTGCTTCAATTTTGTTGGAGCTTTTTGTATTATTCAAGTTGTGTAGGGGGTTAAACGCCATAAAGTGTAGAATCAATTGAAAGTTTGGTCAATCAACACGAAAAGTCCGTTTTACAAAAATCAAAAACCTTTGCTCAAGATTTGAACTTCTATTGATATTACAGCCACCATTTCTTATACCCGGCCGATTTAAGCCAAAAGCGGATTAACCCAAGTGCGGTTTTGGGCTGCCCGGTTAATGCTCCTGTAGCCCAATTGTTTTGTATTGGTTTCGATTTTCCATTAAAAAAACAATAGAACCTAAGGCTAAGTCAAAGTTCGGAAAGCAATCGAAAGTGGATATTGAAACGAAACATCATGACGAAAGGAAAAAAAAAAAAAAAAAAACTTATGTTTATTCCATAAGAAGTGAATGTTTTTTCTTTCCATAGATTATTATAATTGCAAAATTTTAAATTCGTATAGCGTTCAATAAATATTAATCTTTAAAATTTTCAAGACATCGTATAAATGATTTTTTTTTTATTTCCAAAAAGTAAATAAAAAATATTCTTTTATTGTAATTATATTTTAAGATTTTCATATTAGTTGGTTCCTTTAATTTTGTAACGTTTTTTTACATCATATATAATTATTTTTAACTATTTTCAAAACATATATAATATAACTTGAACAAAATAAAATATATCTATGTATAATTATTTAATAATTTAATTTTATTCAATTATCTTTTTTTAAAGTTAATATTTTTTTATTTATCAATTTTATTTTACTTATAAATAACAAACAACATATTTGAATTTTGGAAGACTCATTTTATATTTCTGCGAGTTAATAAAGCATGACAAATGAATGTAATTACATGCTCATTCAATCATGTTATTTGTTTCATTCCTTCATGATTACATTCACTCATACTATTAATTAAATATTTTTTATAATGGTTAATATTTTGCAATAGTTTTTTTTATATAACATTAACTAATTTATCCTCCTTTATTTAAAATATTTTATAAACCTTCTCATTTAAATTTAACTAATTTTTCCTTATATACTTATAAGAAAAGGATGATTAGAGTTTTAACTGTGTTGACTTATTTTTTTATTAATGATCCTTTTTATGTCTTTTCTAGCCATCCAACTTAAGCAACCCAAACCAACACATTAATTAATTTCTTAATTAATTAAATAACTCTTAATTATATTGTTAAGTTTATAATAAATAAACTTATTTAATTAATAACTTATTTACTTTAGGTAGTAAATAATAATTTATACACTATAAATTATTTATTATTTTAATGTTCTTTATTATGTGATCTTGTAGGTTTGTATGTAATTAGCAGTGTAACATATACCTTTATTCCTTTCATATTATTTTTAATAATCAAGGAGTGTTGTTTGGAGTCTCAGGTTTAATGTCTTCGGGGGGCCTCAGAAAATTTTGTCAGGGGTAGTATAACTTTTTTTCCCAAGAAAATATAATAACATAAAAAAAAATACAATTTCATAAGTGCATATGGTCTTCCAAGTTAATGTTAACATCTATTTATGAGAGCATTACCTGGCGATGAGATGTTGAAATGATAAATTGAAACTCTATCACAATCATAAAAAAAATGTATAGATACTTAAAAATCAAAGACCTATTGCACCTATCAATCTCTTATGTAATAAAATTCATCGGTACTTGAAATTCTCTTTATCTATATACTAAAACTAGATTATGACCTGCATAAAACACGGGGAAATAAATTAAATACATATCACATAAATAGGCGGCTTTGTCTTTGGTTGAATTTTAATAAAAAAAATATTAGTTAGATTCATTTTTAGAGTTTTGAACAAAACTTATTAGATAAAAATATTTAATATTTATATTAGAGCAATTTGGTTTTTTAATACAGTAATTTTTAACATAAATGATCTATGTGATCTTTGTTTTATTACAACATAATACGACTTTTTGATTAAAACATATTGTGTAGTAGCTTTATGAATTGACTTTATTCCGTGTACCAACCCCCATGGAGGCTCATATGACCCTTTTCATATTTGCCCAATAAAACCAAAAGCAACAATAAGTTGTTACATGTACCAACAACATTAAATTCCGTAAAGAAATTCGATAAACATTACAAATAAAGTGAATTGTCATAACCATAAACATCAAATTCAGACATTGTAATTTGGTCGATTTCAAAGTATTTTTTCCTTATAAAAATTAAAATATGATTTTCCAGACTACATCCAATCACATATACATATCTTTCGATCAAATAAATTATTACCAAAAAAAAACATGTTATGAACAAAAATATAATATTAGTTTCATAATTTGCTAAAGGTTAACACTAATAAATAATAATGAATTTTCACAAATCTTGCATTTTGGTCACTACATCCAACTAACAAATGAAATTCGGTTTAGAGGATTGATTCAAGAA